CCACTTGAGCCACAGCACCACTTCCAGTTTTCTAGTGGTTTATTGGAGATAAGAGTCCCATGGACATTCCTGCTTGGGCTGGCTTTGAACGGAGATCCTCAGAGCTCAGCCTCCTCTGTAGCTAGGATTACAGTCGTGAGCCACTGTGAGATAAAGGGCCTTGGGAGGAAGGGAGAACTTTGAGCTTTGCTGTAGGAAGGGGAAAATCTACCTAGGAAGATTCTACAGATGTTAATTTTTTTTTGGGGGGGGGTCCGGTCATGGGGCCTGAACTCAGGGCCTGGGCACTGTCTCTCAGCTCTTCAGCTCAAGGCTAGCACTCTACCACTTTAGCCACAGCGCCACTTCCGGCTTTTTTTTTCTGCTTATGTGGTGCTGAGGAATTGAATGCAGGGCCTCATGAATGCAAGGCAAGCGCTCTACCACTGAGCCACCTTCCCAGCCCCTACAGATGTTAATTTGGATGTCCTAAGGCTAAAAGGTCAGGGAGTACATGGAGAGGCCAAGAATGACCTCCTTCAGAAGCTGGAGTTTATGAAATGACTTATAGAGAATAAGTCATGTGGTTCACTGGGAGAAGCTCTCTACAACTAGAGAACAAAAGGCTGTGAAGTATGGTGTCTTTTTGCCAAATAGGAGGATAGCTACATGGGTTTTTAGAAGAGGGAGAAGGAAAGGAAGTGAGGGAGCTAGAGGTGTGGCTTGCACGGAAGAGCACAGGTCTTGAGCAAAAAAGTTAACCACTATCACAGAGAGCTCATTCTTTCCACACAGCCAGGACAAACCATAGCCCCCCTGTCCTGGGAGGATGGGAGAGCAGAAAACTGCTATAGTCTGGCATGGCTCCCACGAAAGTGTATGCTAGCCTTAAGCCTACCTCCTTGGCTGATTAGGACTCTTTGGCTATAACCTAATGAGGTATGAGAAAAACAGAATCACCTTCTTAACTGCTCAGTCTTAAGCCTGAGAAGAACCACCAAAAGTCTCACTAGAGCCTCTCTGCAAGGACCTCCATACTTCCAGTAAAGAAAAGTAAATAAATTCAGAAGTAAAAAAAAATAGATTCTAGGCCTTTCTTTTTTCTTTCTTTCTTTTTTCTTTTCTTTCTTTCTTTTTTTTGTCGGTCGTGGAGCTTGAACTCTGGGCCTGAGCGCTGTTCCTCAGCTCTTCAGTTTAAGGCTAGCGCTATACCACTTGAGCCACAGCACCACTTCCAGTTTTCTGGTGGTTTATTGGAGATAAGAGTCTCAAGCACTTCCCTACCCAGGCTGGCTTTGAACTGTAATCCTCAGATCTCAGCCTCCTGAGAATAGCTAGGATTACAGGCATGAGCCACTGGTGCCTGGCAGATTCTAGGTCTTTCTTTAACAAATTGGCAACTTTAAGCCTGTAGGCAAAACTAGACAGGAATTAAGCTTAGATACTAAGTTTCCCACCAAAGCATAATTGTTTTTTAGTTGACACCTCTATTGTTTTTCCTATATATCAAGGCTGTTATTGTATATGTTGTTATTTTCTTATAGAAAAGTTAAAAAAGGGGGTGATTCTTATTTTTTAATATGATACATTTCAGCCATTTATATGACCTGTCTTGCCCTTATTATTATTTTTTTATTCTGGTGCTGGGATGGAACCCAGGGCCTTGTACACTCTAGGATGTGCTTTATTACTAAACTATATTCTAAACTCTGACCCTGTTAATTTTGTAGCTTTTTCTCCCAGTATGGAGGAAAGAGGTCTGGAGTCCATGTCCCTTTCCTTGCTCTCTGCAATCGACCCTGTAATAGCCTTTGAAGCTCAGAGTAGAGATCAAGTTGGATATTAAGAGTCCTAACAACCTGGAGGACCTGGGACCGTTACAGAAGGCTAATACCTTCTCCCCATTCTGTCCAACCCGGGGCCCCAGCCTGGTTTGTATGTCAGAGAAAGATGACACTGGAATAAGGTATCTATATTAATAATGTATAACTTGAGCCCATAGCCAAGGAGAGGAACTGACACTCTGTGTGTGTGCGCATGCACGCACGTGCTCATGAGCTCAAGTGAGATGTACTTTCTATGTACCAAGATCTATCTTAGGTGCTAAAGATTTTTGCAGTAAACAAGACAGACAAGGTCTCTGCTGTCATGGAGCTTACATACCAGTGAAGAATACGGTAAAGCCATGCAAAAATAAAATTAATGAGATGATTTCAAGTAATGGAATAGAGAAAAAAATCAAAACAGAATGATTTGATCATGTATTTCTAAAAAGGTAAGTTGCACTAGGTGTTGGTGGCTCACGTCTGTAATCCTAGGTACTCAAGAGGCTGAGATCATGGTTGAAGCCAAATTGGGCAGAAAAGTTCCCATGAGTCTCTTATTTTCAATGAACTACTCAAAAATATGAGAAGTAGCACTGTGGCTCAAAGTGGTAGAGTATTAACCTTGAGCATAGAGCTCAGAGACAGCACGTAGGCTCTGAGTTCAAGCCCCATAGCTGACCAGAAAAATTTTTAAAAAGGTAAGCTGTGAATAATATGTGATTCATGTATTTGTCAAGGACCTGTTTGAATTCTGGGCTCATATGTTTATGCTATTTTTGACCACATATTCATGTGCTAGCTTAGAGCCTAAAATGTTTCTATATTATAAGTGGGCTGGTATGTAGCACATGATGGGGATTTATGCATGGAGATATAGATGTCAGCAGTTAGCCATAACTGAAGACATTCTAAGTTCCTATGGCATTTGTCAGCGTACAGGTTATAGAAATAGCTTTCCTGGCATCCAGGGCCACTTGCCAGCTTCCTCACCCTTATTGCGTCTCACTTTAGAAAGCTTACTATGCTTGGCTCTTCTCAACCATATGAGGGGTAAAGCCAAGGAGAAGATAGTAACTGACTCACTGGACCAGAATCTGAAAGGAGGCTGATAATCTGCGTACCCTCTGTCAGTAAGAAAAGGCTTAGTTTCCCTGTCTGTCCCTGTCCTTCCTACTATGGGGGAATGAGTCCTTACTTGAAATTAGAACACTTGAGGATCTATTCTTGGCTCTGTCATTTATTATTGTATGACCTTGGCTGAGTGCTGCTTCTCTCTAGGTTTCAGTTTCCTCTTTTACAAGTACTCTGAGTAGTGAGGAAGGAGAGGAGAAGGAGGAGAGCTATGTCTAAAGGAGGGAGGGACATTTCAAGCAGAAGAAGCAATAGCATGAGCTAAAGTGTGGAGGTGAGCATGAGCTTTGTGCAAAAACAAAGCAAGAAGAACCCACTAACGGCAGTGGAATTGAAATATCTTTTTTTGTTGTTGGTGGTGGTGTGGGGCTTGAACTCTGGGCCTGGGCGCTGTCTCTCAGCTCTTCAGCTCAAGGCTAGTACTCTACCACTTGAGCCACAGTACCACTTCCAGTTTTCTGGTGTTTTATTGGACTTAAGAGTCTCACAGACTTTGCTACACAGGCTAGCTTTGCTCCCTCCTACCCCCGCCCCACTTTTTTTTTTTTTAAGTCAGGAGCCTCACTATGTAGCAAAGACTGGCCTGGACCTTGCTATGTAGCCCATGTTGGCCTTGAACTCATGATCCTCCTGCTTCAGTCTCCTAAGTACAATGATTTTAGGTGTGTACCACCAGGTTCAGCTACCAATGTACCTTATCAAAAAGAGTCACCATTTTGCCTTAATACTGCCCTAGGACAAAAGGAACCATCTTCCTGTTTTTATCAGCATAAAAAATAAGGCTCAGAAACACAGAATATATACATGTCTCAACTACCATACTGAAACCCTTTGATGGAATTAATACATACTTTAAAAAAATGAATGACAGGAAAGTAAAATAAGCTTGAATTGGAGGGAGGGAGGCAGGCACTAGCAAGAACAGGGAGGGCTAAAAAAAGGTGAATGAGGATTAATATGGTTATTTATTTTTATATATGAAAATAGAACAATTAAACTGTTAAAATTGTTTCAAGGGGCTGGGAATGTGGCTTAGTGGTGGAGTGCTTGCCTAGCATGCATGAGCCCCTGGGTTCAATTCCTCTGTAACATATAAATAAAATAAAATAATTTTTTTTTTTGGGTCTGGTCATGGGGGCTGAACTCTGGGCCTGGGCATTGTCCCTCAGCTCTTCAGCTCAAGGCTAGCGCTCTACCACTTGAGCCACAGCGCCACTTCTGGCTTTTTTTCTTTATGTGGTGCTGAGGAATCGAACCCAGGGCCTTGAGCATGCAAGGCAAGCACTCTACCACTGAGCTACCTTCCCAGCCCAAAAAATAAATTTTTAAAAAGATTATTTTAAGAAGCAGGAGTAGGATGGGGAGAATGATAGAAGGGGTGAAGTTGACAGCATTACATGGGTTACATCTGTGGCAATGAATCATTCTTTGTACAATTAACATATACTAATAAAAATAATAAAATAAATAAGGATCAGAGATGGACAGTGAACTTTCCAATGATACATCACATGTGCATTTTTCTTTTCTTGCCAGTCCTAGGGCTTGAATTCAGGGCCTGGAAACCATCACTGAGCCTCTTTATGCTCAAGGTTAACACTCTATCACTTGAACCACAGTGCCACTTCTGGCTTTTTCTTTTTCTTTCTTTCTTTTTTTTTGTCAGTTGTGGGGCTTGAACTCTGGGCCTGAGTGCTGTCCCTCAGCTCTTTAGCTCAAGGTTAGCACTTTGCCACTTGAGCCACAGCACCACTTCCAGTTTTCTGGTGGTTTATTGGACATGAGTCTCATAGACTTTCCTGCCTGATCTGGCTTTAAACTGTGATCCTCTGATCTTAGCCTCCTGAGTAGCTAGGATTACAGGTGTGAGCCACCATGCCCAGCCCCAAGTATATGAAGTATCTTGAGGGGCCAAAGTATCTGTTCAGTCAGCTCAAGGTGTGTGGTAATTGGTTCACCATTACAGGACTTAGGCTTTAGTGTTAACAGATGTATTTTATGACTGCTCCTATTGTGAAGATGAAATTATATCCCTAATCATTGGTTCTTTCTGGTATATCTCAGGGAAGGAAATGAGCCTGGGGAGGCTGCCCAGATCACATACCGTGAGCTTCTGGTCCAAGTATGTCGGTTCAGCAATGTTCTTCGTAAACAGGGTGAGTGTGGGGGTGTGGGAAAGGAGCTGGAGGGCTTGGCTTTGGAGTATCTGAGGATCTGTTGGGAGAGATGGAAGGAACCTAGTAACAGAAATAAAAAAGTTAGCTAACTGGGAAAGGGGACATCTGGATGGGTGTGGACAAGTAGCAGCAGGAAGGATCAACAGGCCTGGTCTGTGCCTTTTACCTGCAGGCATTCGGAAGGGTGACCGAGTGGCCATCTACATGCCCATGATCTTGGAGCTTGTGGTAGCCATGTTGGCATGTGCCCGCCTTGGGGCTTTGCATTCCATTGTGGTAAGAATTTGGGCTGGGGAAGAGGGAGCAGGTGGGGGGGGCGGTGGAGATGAGATTTGGGGGTGGATTGGATCTGGATGATGAAAGATTTTAGAGTGCTAACTTCATAGCTCAAAATCAGTTATCCCTGGTTTGGAGATGCTGTTTCATGAGCAATTCTTTTTCTTCTTTATTTAATCTCTAGGCCTTTCCGTTCCCCTTCAGTTTTTCTTTCCTTCTCTAGTTTGCAGGCTTCTCTGCAGAGTCTCTATGTGAAAGAATTCTGGATTCCAGTTGCAGTATTCTCATCACTACAGGTGACTAATTCCCTCCCCCCTTCTCCAGAATTCCCCTATACCTTGACTCTTGGTCTCTATTCAGCTTGTTGACTTGGGTCTAATTAGGAAGGAGGGTCCAGGGACTGCTTGCCCTTGCTCTCTTGGTCCCACCTCAGCTAACTCTCAGCAGCCCAAATCATCTGGAAGAGCCAAGGTCAAGAGACCCACTAAGGAAGGGCCTTATGGACATGGAGCCTACTGGGGATTTGGGTGCCTACTAAGGCCTGGAATATCTGTTGCTCCCCAAAGATGCCTTCTACAGGGGGGAAAAGCTTGTGAACCTGAAGGAGCTGGCTGATGAATCCCTGGAGAAGTGTCAGGAGAAGTGAGTATGCTCACCTCTTAGCTACTGCCCGGGGTGGACTGGGCCTTTCTCCAGTGCCAGCTTTCCTTTGCCCCTCCTACTGTGGATATGGGGTGAGGATCTTGCCAACTTCTCTTTAGAGCCAACTAGACTACTATTTCAGGCTTTTATCTCCTCCAGGGGTTTCCCAGTGAGATGCTGCATTGTGGTCAAGCACATAGGGCGAGCAGAGTTGGGCATGGGTGATTCCTCCAGCCAGTCTCCCCCAATTAAGAGGCCATGTCCCGATGTCCAGGTGAGTTTGGCACTACTATGCTCTCTTCTGGGCTCAAATTTTCTACTATTTCTTGCTTAAGAAGTTCCCAATGTCTTCCTTCCATCATAATGCTGAGGATCTGGAAACAATCCTGAGTGCTTTCTCTGGCAGGGCTAATTGGGAGCAAGGGACTTTGACCTTGAATATGAGTAGACAGGTCCCTGGGTCTCAAAGAACTAAGGATGAGAAGTTGTGAAGGAGACTCCTGTGTTGGTCAGGGTATCTTAACCAGCATGCCGGACTCTCAGGGGTTGGACTTGGGTTGGAAATGTGTCACTTCTGTATCACCTGGGTGACTATATGGAGTCACTTGGCTAGACTGTGACCTGGGTGGGATACGTTTGTGGCCTAGGGGATGCCTACTATGGAGGGACTAGACTCCAGCCTTTAAGATGGCTGTTAGCTTTGGATCCAGTGCTTCTGGTGAGAGCAGAAAAAAAGCCCAATGGTGACTTCCAGGTCTGAGAGGTATAGATATGGAAATTAGGTGATCAAAAGGACAGAGGTTTACTTAGATTGTATGAATGAAAGGGTGCTGACTTGTCTTGGGACTAGAGAGGCTATAGTTTAGCAAGACTGGAAATTCTAATCAGTATTAGAGATTCTGCTGGATTCAGGATGAGGAAAATTGAGGCTGGGAAGAAGTGAGAGGGGCGTCGGGGGGAATGGGTATCCAGGAGTTAGGGCATATTTACCCTTTCCTGCTCTATTTCTTGGACCCTGCTCATCAGGCTTTCCATTCCATGGGCTCTTAACAGGGTAAGCTGAAAGAAAAATCCAAGCGCATCCAGCCCCAGGTACATTTCCGCTCTGCCTTGGGCACTGCTTCCCTGTGTGCTTGTCTGTGAATCCATCTGTTCTTTGTCTGTTTGCCTCAGTGAGGTGTGTTGTCAGTTCTAACCCCTTGACTTCTACACTACTCCGAAGGGTTGTAAAATCAAATGTTTGTTTCTACCTTTGTCAATTGGCATAGAACAAGGATCCCAGAGATGTAGCAACAGACATCTGATTTCACAACAGCTGCCCAGGTCTTTTATGGGAAAGAGGGCCAGGAAACCTGTCAGTAAGCGTTTGTTTCTGTGCCCTCAGATGGTGTAGAGCCAGAAGAGACAAAGACAGGTAGAGGAGGTACAGTCCAAGACTCTAGGGTCTGTTATCATTTAGGGAGTTAGATATGTATTATAAGTGAAAACAAAAGTTTTATACAAGACAGATTTATGGGATGTATTGAGATTTACGAAATGTACATAACTCTAACTTGAACAAAATCATTTTGTAGGAGGTTCTAAGAAGGGATATCCATAAGTGGGTGCATGTAGAAGATCATTACATAGGAGTGGGCTTGGCATTCAGTAGTCCATTTTAAAGATCTCTAATAAAGGGGCTGGGAAGGTGGCTCAGTGGTAGAGCACTTACCTTGCATGCCTGAGGCCCTGGGTTCGATTCCTCAGCACCACATAAGCAAAAAAAGAAAAAAGCCATAAGTGGTGCTGTGGCTCAAGTGGTAGAGCGCTAGCCTTGAGCTGAAGAGCTGAGGGACAGAATTCAGGCCCCATGACCGGACCCCCCCCCAAAAAAAATCTCTAATAAAGGGCTGGGGATGTAGCTTAGAGTGCTTGCCTAGCATGCATGAAGCCCTGAAATTGATTCCTCAGTGCAAATAGAAAAAGACAGAAGTGGTGCTGTGGCTCAAGTGGTAGAGAGCTCGCCTTGAGCAAAAAAAAGAAGCTCAGGGACAGTGCCCAAGCCCTGAGTTTCAGCCCCAGGACTGGCAAAAAAAAAAAAAAAGTCACCTCTCCTCTCTAGGCTTCATTTCACTCATCAGAAATAGAGATGATAATACATGCTTAAAAAAGAAAGTGAGGAGCTGGGCACCGGTGGCTCACGTCTGTAATCCCAACTACTCAGGAGGCTGAGATCTGAGGATCATGCTTCAAAGCCAGCCTGGGCAAGAAAATCTGTGAGAGTCTTATCTCCAATAAACTACTAGAAAACCGGAAGTGGTGCTGTGGTTCAAGTGGTAGAGCGCTCACCTTGAGCTGAAGAGCGCAGGGACAGCGCCCAAGCCCAGAGTTCAAACCCCACAACCAACCAAAAAAAAAAAAAGTGAGTGTCTAGGAAGGTGGCTCAGTGGTAGAATGCTTGCCTTGCATGCACAATGTCCTGGGTTTAATTCCTCAGTACCACAGAAGCAGAAAAAGCGGGAAGTGGTACTGTGGCTCAAGTGGTAGAGCGCTAGCCTTGAGCTGAAGAGCTGAGGGACAGCGCCCAGGCTGAGTTCAGGCCCCATAACTGACAAAAAAAAAAAAAGAGACAGAGAGTTTCTTTCCTAAAACAAAACATAAAGCCCACTGTTCCTGTGAACGTTAACATCATCACAGGTTACCATACTCAAAGTCTGCTACAATTAGTCTCTTATGCTAATGGTACATATGTACATATAAGCCCCTTTTGTCTATTCTCATTAGTATGGTAGAGACAGATCTGATTTCTTGAGAATGTGGCTTTCTTTTTAAAACTCAAATACAGGTGGGGAATGTGGCTTAGTGGTAGAGTGCTTGTCTAGCGTGCATGCATGAAGTCCTGGGTTCAATTCCTCAGCACCACATAAACAGAAATAGATGGAAGTGGTGCTCTGGCTCAAGTGGTAGAGTGTTAACCTTGAGCAAAAGAAGCTCAGGGACAGTGCTCCAGGACTGGCAAAAAAAAAAAATAAAACTCAAACACAAACTTGTTTTGTGTGTGTGTGTGTGGTATTGGGGCTTGAACTCAGGGCTTTGCACTTGCTATCCTGACACTCTACCACTTGAGTGATACCTCTAGCCCTGATTTTCATTGGTAATTTTTGAGATAGGATCTGGCTTCTCACCTACATGCATGCTGGGATCATAGGTATGGCACATCATCGAATTCAGCTACTTTCTGTGAAGATAGTCACAAACTCTTCCTAACCTCAGACTTCCAAGTGGCTAGGATTATGTGTAAGCCACTGGGCCTAACCACTTCTTTTGAAAAGAGTTAACTAATAATGATTTAGAGTACAGGAGCTGTAGCCAGATGATCTGGATTCAAATTCTGGCTCTGTCACCTGAAATAACAGCATCACCAAAGAAGCAGACATGTTATTTAAGCTTTCACTTTAGTTTATTTAAGCTTTCACCCATCTGTAAGATAACTATAATAATTGACCTATTCTATAGGCTTTTTTCAATCTATGTGAGGTGCTTGGCATATAGTAACCACTCAATCAATGTTAGGTGTTATTGTTTCCCCTTTCTCCTTAACATAGCACACAGACTGGCATTTCTAAAAATAAGATAGAAAACAAATAAGAAACTTAATTCTACTTCAGGCTCAGGCTTCTGAGCTTTTATTTCTTGGGGGCAAAAAAAAAAATCAGTTACCAAAACTCAAAGAACCTAACAATAGACTTACAAAGTCCAGGGTCTAAAAACAGCATTAAAATCTGCAGAAACCTTGGCAGAACTCCAAACACTTTTATCCTTCTGAAACCTTCAAAGGAGGGACTGGTATAGTTTGCAGGTGCACTCTTCAACCATATCACCTATGAGCTCCTTCATATTCCTTTTGTAAGAACAGCTGCCCTAATCTAAGGACAAGGGCCAACTCCTCAATTTTTATTTTAGAAAACTGAAACCTTTTCCTGGTTCAAAGCCCTGGGCCTAGTTTACATCAGGAAGTCATCCTGCTTCCCGGTGCTCATTACCAGCTCTACACCTGGAGTGCCACACCTCCTCCACTCCTCCCTAAACACACATAACTTCACAAAGGAAACAGTTTTGTCAGATTACAAGATGACGCCTCATTGCACAGCCACAGTATAACTATGTCTTACATTATGATAATTTACAGTACTTTAGATCTGCACATTTTATATAAAGCAATATTGACATGGTTCTGCTTACATTCATAACTGCCCTCAGCTCAAGCAACCACTTGGCAGGAAATGTAAGAAAGAATTCATGTGATAATGTACGCATAAACTCATATAGATCTTCCACTGAAAAATGGAATATGTTTTATGCTTTTTGCTAGGGCTGCTTATTCTCTTTCTCTATGTCTCTCTCCTTTTTCTCTCTCAGTCTCTCTCTGTGTTGGTTGTAGGGCTTGAACTCAGGGCCTGACACTCTTACCACTTGAGCCACAACTCCACTTCCCATTTTTTTGCTAATTAATAATTGGAGATAAGAGAGTCATGGACTTTTCTGCCTTGGCTGGATTCAAACCACAATCTACAGATCTCAGCTTTCTGAGTTGCTAGAATTACAAGCATGAGCCACTAGCACCAGGCCTTCCTTATAGTAGCACCCTTACTTGAACTGGGATTGTCAGTCTTACGAGGCTCAACTGACAAAAACTTGTAAGTTCTTAGGACTAAGAGTCCCATCGTTAGTCATTTTATAATTTAACAAGGTATGTGTCTAACACTGGGAAATTCTGAAACCAGATATGCACTTAATAAGTTAGCATGGATCCATGTTATAGGGGAAGGACATTTCTGTCATATAACCATGTCTGTCTGCCAGCCAGGGTCATAGGAACAGTCAAGAATCTAATGTCTATGAAAGAGCTTTCAGGCAGCTAAAGCAAGCCCCAAACATCAGATGCTTAAATTTATCTCCCATTGGTCATTGAACTTAACCTTATCCCTTCTGACATCCATCAGTCTTGCCCCAATCTCTAACTCCTGAGATAATCCAAGGCTTGCTATTTATTAGATAGTATCTTTTCTTTTTTGATGTTTCAAAAATCCTGTGAAACCATTAGAGCAGGAATGATTATCTTCCTTTTAAATAAGATGGACGTGAAATAGAGTGATTTAAGTCATATAGCTAGGAAGTGACAAAATTGACATTGAAATCTAGTGTAGTTTTGGGACAAATTCAAGGAATCCAATTTTACCCAACAAAGAACAGTCTGAAAAAAAATTGGCATTTAAAGAAGAAAGAAAAGTAGTTTCATAGGAACTTAGAGAACGTTTAGAATAACAGACCCAGAAGCCATTAAAGACAATCAGGTGTACGAAGACACTCTTTTCCTGGGAGGAATCCCCTGGGTTTTCCTCCATCAATTCGAAGCAAGGCTTCCTGCTTCAAGCTGATGGAGAAAAAGGCTTCCTGCTGAATGAAACCTGTTTCCATGAGAGAGGTTGCTATGGGTGACCCCACTGATTATCCATGCTAGAAAGGTAGGAGAGACGCTTCAGAACTGGATGGGAAATGGACATGTAGTTAAAGTGCTTGATTTCTTTCACAACTAACTACCAAGGTCAAGTACCCACTTCATCTGCAGTCTCTGACTGACTTTGCTTTTCTGAATTGTATGGTGTCCATATTCCTACTGATAATCTATTAGTTCCATAGTACATATGTGTGTATGCAGGCTGTGTGTGGTTATTCATCTAACAAAAATTTACTAAATGTCTTTTGAGTGTCAGGAACTTTTACCAGATGTTGGGGAGGAGAAAGACATGTCACTACCCTCCTAGAAATCACTAGCTAGTTGGGAGAGTCAATAATCAAGGAAATGATTAAATAAAATAACTGAAAAGTATGTTCTATGTAGAAAAGACATGTGGTGCTGTGATTAACAATAATAGCAGGGGGTGGGATTGGAATCTATCAGATACTATTCAGGTAAAACCTTTATAAGGTGACATTTCAGCTGAGAACTGGAGGATAAAAAGGAAGGGTCCCTCCTCAGCCTGGGGCCAGGCGAGAGAAGTTCTGGAGTAAAGGCAGAGAAAGGATGGCGAGATGGTAGGAGTACCCAGGAAGTCTGCCATTCTGTTCCTGTTCTATCCCATTACATCCTTCTCTTCCCTCCTTCCCTTCCTACACCTCCACCTACCAGTCCTATACCACTCCTCCAGGTGCCAGGTAGGGGTATCTCTTACCCTGTTTTGAACTATTCACAGTTCTTTCCTCTCTATTCCTATCTTCCTCTCTCTGCAGATCTCCTGGAACCAAGGGGTTGATTTTTGGTGGCATGAACTCATGCAAGAAGCTGGGGATGAATTTGAGCCTGAGTGGTGTGATGCTGAGGATCCACTCTTCATCTTGTACACCAGTGGCTCCACAGGCAAACCTAAGGCAAGTGTGTGTGTGTGTATTGTATAGGGATGAAAAATGTTTATCATATATTATCATTCAGTCCTGTAATTCCAGGAACCCAAGGTGATTTTAGGAGAAGGAGAGAGGGAGAAAGGGAGAAGAAGGGTGGGGGGTTGGGAGAGAGAACTAAAAGTAAAGGCTGTGCATGCAATAGAGGCATTTTTGGTTACCTTGTGGGCCCAACCCTGAATGTCATATTAAATTGAATTGAGAAAAATCCTCAATCACTAGATGTTGAGACAAGTTGAGTGGGGCTTCCATAGTGCAAAAAAAGTAGAAAGGATGAATTCATGTGGATGAAATGGGTGTTCTATTCCCATTTTCACATGGTTGGTTGAAGGAGTGAAGGAGAGCAGTCCTGTAAACTCACGACCAAGGGTGAACACAGAGATCCTTCTTGGGCTTTTAAGACCATACCTCTCAGTCATTTCCTTCTTCACAACATATTATTAACATCTAGTCCTCTACTATAGCACAGCTCACAATATAGACTACTAGATTTGAATAAGTTAGGGGTGATATGCATATATAATTGGTATGGATGGCTCAGAAATTATGATCTGAGGGTGTGTGTAGAAATGTGATAAAGAAATTGGGAGACAGATGAAGTGAAGAGGGTTTGGGCAGGGCCAGAGGGTCTTCTTCCAGCCTCCATTTGTCAGACCTATTAAATGAGACCTATTCTTTCCACAGGGTGTAGTACACACAGTTGGGGGCTACCTGCTCTATGTGGCTACGACTTTCAAGTATGTGTTCGACTTCCACTCAGAGGATGTGTTCTGGTGCACAGCAGATATTGGCTGGATCACTGGCCATTCCTATGTCACCTATGGGCCACTGGCCAATGGTGCCACCAGTGTTTTGGTGAGAAGGGAGATAGAGCATGGAGATTATTCTGGGTAACTGCCCCTTAAGACTACTTAGTCTAGAAGCAGAGGGACTTAGACCAAGTGATGCATTTCATAGAGAAAGAGGAGTCCTGAGAGGGTTATATGTCTTTATAGGTTGATGCCTTGGTTTGTTTGGTCAGAGTGAAGAACGGTTGGTCAGAAAGAAAAAAAAAAGAATAAACTTGAGGCCATAGTAGCAGAATAAAGGACTTTTGGGAGGGCCCAGGAATAATCAGCTTTCACTGGGGTCAGTTTGAAGGGATTCCCACACACCCAGATGTGAGCCGCCTGTGGAGCATTGTGGACAAATACAAGGTGACCAAGTTCTACACAGCACCCACAGCCATCCGTCTGCTCATGAAGTTTGGAGATGAGCCTGTCACCAAGTGAGACTCCCTTCCCCAGTTGTTGTCCCTTAGGTATCCTTCAGATCTGTGTGGTCCTTTTGTACCATTTCTTTCTTTTCATTATCCCAACTCTCTGACCTGGGAGTCAGGGAGAGGGGGCCAGAGAAGAGTTGGGCATGTGTATCCTGGCTCTTAGTGGTACTCAAGACTTTCCTCTCTCCCCATTTCTCTGCTCAAGGCATAGCCGGGCATCCTTGCAGGTGCTAGGCACAGTGGGTGAACCCATCAACCCTGAGGCCTGGTTGTGGTACCACAGAGTAGTAGGGGCCCAGCGCTGCCCCATTGTGGACACCTTCTGGCAAACAGAGACAGTGAGTAAGGGTTCCAGAAAGCAGGGGCTGAGGGACAATGCGGGAAGACTGACTCTGACCCCTAATCTCTGACTTCTACAGGGTGGCCACATGCTGACCCCCCTCCCTGGTGCCATACCCATGAAACCTGGTTCTGCGGTGAGTGAAGTTCCCCTGTAGTCCTAGGCCTGGCAGGGGTAGGGTTTTGATGCTTTGGCCTTCTATAGAGTGGACCAATAGCTATGAGAACTTTGGGTCTTTGGGGCTCCATGGCAATTGAATCAGTTGCCTCATTCCTTTTCTTGGGACCTCTCTCCTATTTTCTTCTAGGCCTTCCCATTCTTTGGTGTAGCTCCTGCAATCCTGAATGAGTCTGGGGAAGAGTTAGAAGGTGAAGCTGAAGGTTATCTGGTGAGCCCCTAGTCTTTGGGAAGGGAAAAGACTTCAAGGGCAATCTTTCTAGATACTTTGCCTTCATTTCTGTCTATTGGTGTGTAAGCTCTTAAGGACATTTTTAGAGGCTATATAGAGATTTCTGATGGCTCTCTTTTGGGCCAAGAAGACTTGACCCAGTTCTTCCTTTGATAAACATTCTAGAGAAAAGAGGCTTCGTAATGTGGTAGGACAATCATGTAAGCTCTGAAGCCAGCCTGCCTGTGTTCAAATCCTAACTCGGCTTCTTCTGTGAACACAGAGGCCTTTGAACCTAAATATGCTCATTCATCAAATTGGTTATAATAGTATAGATAGATAATCATATTTTCCTACAGGTGCTTGATTAAATTAAGTAACTCATGCAAAGGGATTAGCCTGGAACCTAGCAACTAATAATACCCAATAAATGTTAGCTGCTGTAGTTTTTAATTTTTATTTTTATTATCTTAAAGTATTGTTCAAAGGGGCTTTCACTCAAATCAGTTTATAACTACAATGCATCTTGATCAATATTAACCTTTAGTTGCTGTAATTTTGTGATAGGATCACACCACATGTCACTTTTCCAAGGTCAAGTCAATAACAGGGACAGGACTAGAATCTAGGACCTCTGGGTTCAGGTTAGAGTTCTGTACCTCCCATCAGTCTGATGCTGCAGAATGTTATATGTTGGGAACTATTTATTCACTCAGGTGTAGGACCTACTTCTTTTACATGACTGTTTTCATTTGTAGTAAATTGGATCTGCTTCTCTGAAGGAGAGGTTAGAATTTACTGAATGCTTATCACTAAGGCACACCTCAGGTAGTTTCAACATACTATTAATTTAATACAATAACTTTAGAAGAAACTATTTTCTCAGACTGATGGGTGAAAGTCCCGAGGCTCAGAGTAGTTACTTGCCTAGGTAAATTGGCAGTTAGGATTTCCAAGCCAGGATCATCCATTTCCAAAACCTATCCTACCTCTCAGTAATGACATTTAGAGTGTTTTTCTTTAATTTAGCAAAGCTGTGAGACAGCCTAGAAGATGAGATCACTGTGCTTCTTCACGTCCCAGGTGTTTAAGCAGCCTTGGCCTGGGATCATGCGTACAGTTTATGGGAACCACACACGCTTTGAAACCACATACTTTAAGAAGTTCCCTGGGTACTACGTGACAGGAGATGGTAAGATTTGGATATCCTGTCCCCATACTTCTTCTTTTTTTGGGGGGGTGGGGGATCCAGCTGTGGGCCTGAACTCTGGGCCTGGGCGCTGTCCCTCAGTTCTTCAGCTCAAGGCTAGTGCTCTACCACTTGACCACAGCACCACTTCTGGCTTTTTTCTTTTTGCTTATGTGGTGCTGAGAAATCGAACCCAGGGCCTCATGCATACAAGGCAAGCGCACTACCACTGAGCCACCTTCCCAGCCCCCCCATACTTCTTGTTAAGACATGCATCTTCACTTTCCATTAAAAAGTCTCTGTAGTAATAACCACTGTACAAAAGATAATCAGAGCTGAGTACCAGTGGCTAACACCTGTAATCCTAGCTACTCAGGAGGCTGAGATCTGAGGATCGTGGTTCAAAGCCAGCCCAGGCAGGAAAGCCGTGAGTCTTTTATCTCCAATTAACCACCAGAAAACCGGAAGTGGCGCTGTGGCTCAAGAGGTCGAGCACTTGCCTTGAGCTGAAGAGGTCAGGGACAGCAACCCAAGTCGAGTTCAAGCCCCACCACTGACAAAAAAAAAAAAGATAGAGGGGCCAGGTGCCAGTGGCGCAGCCTATAATCCTAGCTACTCAAGAGACTGAGATCTGAGGATCAAGATTCAAAGCCTAGGCAGGAAAGTCTGTAAGACTCATACCTAATTAACCACCTGAAAACCTAAAGTGGAGCTGTAGCTCAAATGGTAGAGAGTCACCTTGAACTGAAGAGCTCAGGACAGCACCCAGGCCCAAAGTTCAAGTCCCACAACTGACAAAAAAAAAAAAAATCGTCAGAGAAGGCTTCCAAGGCTTCCTGGATTTAAGTAGAGATGCAACCAGGGACTGGTTAAAGTAAGAGTATTGCACGGGGTGGAAAACAAACTTGAAATACATGAGGCTTAGACTGAAGCTAGTTGGCAGAATTGTGCTGAGCACCTGGAGACACAGTACTTGAAGCTGGAGAGGTAGAGAAAATACAGTGTTGTGGCCACAGTGAGCAGTCTGGATTTTATTCAAAGTATAGTAGCAGACTTTTATAGATTTTAAGCAGAGTTGTGATAAGAACTAATTTCCTGTTTAGAAAATATCTTTCCTTGAGTTACAGAAAATAGATGTGTTTACCACATCCTCAGTTTCTGAGGATTAGATTCTGAGAGCACCTTAGTGTTTCTCAGTCACGGTCCCTTGTGAGTTACAGTCAGGCTGTTGGTAGGGGCTGTAATCATCTAAACATTTGACTGAGCCTAGAAGATCTACTTAACTGCTTATTCCTATGGCTTTTGGCAAGAATCTTCAGTTCCTTCACTACTTGGGCCTCTCTAAAGGGCTACTCTCAACTAGCTAGATTTCCTCGGAACAAATGATATGAGAGAATACAAGCAAGATGGAAGCCAAAGTGTCTTCTGTAACCTGATCTTAGAAGTCACATTCCAGCATTTCTTCCAAATTCTGTTGATCATATAGACTATCCTATATAATGACAAAGAGAACTATGCAGTGCTATAAATACCAGGGGTAAAGATCACTGTGGCCATCTTGGAGACTGACTGACACAGTGAGCAGTAGACTTGTTAGAAGGCCCTGTACTGGCTATGACACCTTGGTTATGGAGATCCTGCAACCTGCTGTGGGTATTATTATCTGTTTTTCCCCTCAGGTTGTCGGCGGGACCAGGATGGTTATTACTGGATCACTGGCAGGATTGATGACATGCTCAATGTATCTGGTGAGGATCCTGGATCCACCTCTCCTATCTCAGCTCTGTTTCCCTCCTAGAAAGCCTTCTGAGAGTGCTAGGGCTGTCCTTTGGCTTGACCATGTGTGGCATTCAATTTTGGGCCCAGAATTAGAGGAAGAGTGTTGGATGCTGGAATGTGCCTAGAAGAAGAGATTGAGGGTGGTGAAGTAATGGAAAGAATGCCATCAGAGAAAAGAATGACCTCTCTCTTATGATCAGACTCGGTCTTCTCTCTGGATGCAGATGGAACAGGAGCTGGGACAGACAGAGGCTGGGATCTCTCTTATGGCATTTTCGTTCTCTCCACCAGGACATCTGCTGAGTACAGCAGAGATAGAATCAGCTCTTGTTGAACATGAGGCTGTGGCAGAAGCAGCTGTGGTGGGCCACCCTCATCCTGTGAAGGGTGAATGTCTCTACTGCTTTGTCACCCTATGTGATGGTCACACTTTCAGCCCCACCCTCACTGAGGAGCTCAAGAAGCAGAGTAAGGAACCCACCCTGGGCAAGGACTACAGGGTCTATGAGTTATTATGGAGGGGCTGCATCAAGCTGATCACCAAACTAGGAACAGAACTCAGGGATCCCATGGGCTGGCTCATTTCCTCCCACTTAATCTCCACTAAGATAATGACAATAGCAGATAAGTACAGAATACTTTTTCTCTTCGGTCACTGGGTTCAGTGCTTTGAATGCATTATCCTATTTAATTCTTATAATCACCTCAGTGAAACAGATCCTATTGTTATTCTAGTTATAAAAAAAACTTCAGACATAGAGAATTAAATCTCTTGCCCAAGGCTACACTGCTAGAAAGTATTGGGATTTAAATCCTAGCAGGTTTATTCTAGAGCCAAAGTTCTATAAGTGGATTAAAATACAACAAAGAAGGTAAAGAGAAATGGTTAAGGGGGAGGGGGGGCAGTGAGCATGAGAATGCTTATGTAGGCTTTTGGGAGTCTAGTTAACAATACTAAAGAAATGCTTGATTTGTTGATTATAGTTAGAGAAAAGATCGGCCCCATTGCCACACCAGACTACATCCAGAATGCACCTGGCTTGCCTAAAACCCGCTCAGGTATGTTCAGAGATCTCCAGGATTGTGATGGGTTAAGGGCCCAGTGGTTGGTGGAGTTTGTGGATTAAAATCCTTGCAGGGGGCTGGGAATGTGGCTTAGTGGTAGAGTGTTTGCCTAGCATGCACGAGGCCCGGGTCTGATTCATTAGGACCACATAAACTGAAAAGGCTGGAAGTGGCGCTGTGGTCAAGTGGTAGAGTGTTAGCCTTGAGCAAAAGAAGCTCAGGGACAGTGCCCAGGCCCTGAGTTTAAGCCCCAGGTCTGGCAAAAAAAAAATCTTGCAGGACTAAGAAGGCTCAATGCTATCACGAAGTAACCAGAGGCCTATATTCCCCTAGGGAAAATCATGAGACGAGTGCTCCGGAAAATTGCTCAGAATGACCATGACCTGGGGGACATATCTACAGTGGCTGATCCATCTGTCATCAGTCACCTCTTCAGCCATCGCTGCCTGACCAGCCAGTGAACGAAGACTGGCCTTTGCCTAGTATTCCCCTTGCTTGGCTCTCCCGAGATCTGCCAATCTTTCCTACCCCACCCCCCAAATCCAGGCGTAATGAGAGCCACACTTGGTCCTCAAGTAAAGGCAGTTTTTTGTGACTACCAGGCAGAAGGGGAAGGACCCAGGCCAGTCTCAGATTGATGTACCCCTCAACTTCCAAGAGCTCTGTAAGCCCAGGATAGGAATCTCAAGGCCATGTCCCCACTTGAGTTCAGTGTTCAAAGGGCAAGGGAAGATCTTGAAGCAAGGCAGCAACTCCAATCCTATATTAACTCTCTCAGGAAGCACCACTTCTGACCTTGTGCAGGCAATTACCTTAAAAACTGACAATGTGTGAGTCTAGGAATAATTATTATTTTTTAAATACTCTGCTGCTTTTGTTCTGAGTCTGAATTCCTAAATGGCAGTACTATCTGCCCACTTGCTCCAGGGGTAATGTACGTGGGTTCAGTCTCTAGAGGACTTTCATATTATCTGATTTGAAGGAGTGGATGTGTTTTGTTCCCAGGACCAAAGGAGTTTGTCTTCCTTGTCCTGTCCCATGAGAGACACTCTCAGATTAAATTCTCTTTTCTTGCCCTAGTCATGCTCAAACCCCATGGTTGTAAGAATAAAGTCTGTGACCTTAAAAAGGTGGTGAGTGGCTCTGATTTATGTGTCAGATGAAAGGGGAAGGATATTTCCCAGGACTATCCTAGTACTCTTTCTTCTAGAACTTTTGGTTCTAGTCAAGGCTTCGCTCACAGGACTTCTGACTGCCTGAGCTAAGCAGGAGTGACTGGACCCTGGTTTTTGTTTTTTGGGGATTTTTTGTCATGGGGCTTAAACTCTGGGCCTGGACACTGTCCCTTAGCTCTTCAGCACAAGGTTAGTAGTGCTCTACCACTTGAGCCACTGTGATACTTCTGGCTTTCTGATAGTTAATTGAGGAGTCTCATGGACCTTCCTGCCTGGGCTGGCTTTGAACCTTGATCATCAGATCTCAGCCTCCTGAGTAGCTAGGCATGTGCCACTGGTGTCTAGCAGGATGCTGTTCTTAACTGTGATGTCTCTCCATACTTGCTTTCCCCAATGGGCTCCTGCCAGGGATACTTTTTCCTCCCTAGGGCCCTGTGGTAACTAAGGATCAGAACGTCAGGATTCTATCCTTTGGGGCTAGGTCTACAGATACCCTATAGCCTAGTCACCAATCAACCTTAAATGGGAAGATCTAGATTATGGCTCTCTGCTTCCTGATGGGTGTACAGCAATGAACCATTGAATCAGCAAGGTGATTTTATTTAAGGCAGAGCTAGGGAAAGTCTATACCCTTCCATCTGCCTCTTCCTACCATTTAGTCTTTTCCCAAGTTAGGCAGGAACCTACTGGAAAGGCTGAAGAGGGGCCCACAGGAAGATGGCAGGGTTTATAGCCCTTTACCTCAGAGCAGCTTCCCTTTTCATACTTCAGGGGTTTGATGGCCTTCAGAGCTCATCTAAAGGGAAATGTAGCCTCTCTGGTCCTCAGATGGAGGGTGGAAAGAAGGCAACTGCCATTTACCCTTCCCTGAAGACTCAGAAGGGCTAGGAGAGGAATGACAAGTACAGGGGCTTAGAAGATGTCTTGAGTGAAGTCCAGGCTATGCCCTCACACAGGGTATGGGTTGTCCAGGACTGCTACTCCTGCTGCCACACCACCGTCTGCATGTTCAATGGCTTTGGTTCGAAGCAGATGGCCCGCATGTGTGTTCATCACAAGTGTTTTCCCCTGCCTGTAGAAATAGGGTCAGGAGACACACAATGTCACCAAACCTAGGACCTTTCCTGGTCCCTGATGAGCAGTACATGAAAGTGACTACACTCAAGAAATGCCAAGACATTAGAGTCAGATTTAGATTGTAGCCTGTCTTGGAAACTACTAGTTCTATGATTCTGAGGAAGTTCCTTAGTCTTTCTAAACATCACTTTCTAAATGTCACTTTCCTTCATTTAAAATTGGGATATTTCTTTCTTGTTGTTTTTGTTGTTTTGTTTTGTTTTTTGGTGCCAGTCAGGGGCTTGAACTCAGGGCTTGGATGCCATCCCTGAACTTCTTTTGCTCCAGCACCCTACCACTTGAACCACAGCTCCACTTCCAGCTTTTTTTGGTAGTTTTAGTGGAGATAAGAATCTCAGAGACTTTCTGCCTGGGCTGGCTTCAACTTCAATCTTCAGATCTCAGCCTCCTGAGTAGCTAGGATTACAGGCATCAGCCATGGGTGTCCTCTTACTGATTTTTAGTGCTTCAATCTTCAAGGAGTTACTAAGTTCTTCAAAGCCACTCAATATCCTTTAGCTGACAAATCTCTCCTTTCCCTAGAATTCCCAGTGGCCTTGGAGCTGGACCTAAATAAACTCTCTTTAAGAGTCTCCTAGTGCTGCTTGTCATCCCATCTTTTCTCAATCCTTTTGCTACTATGTAGAATTTCCTTTAAATTTACAAAGCAGCTCTCCTCTGAGCGTCATTAGTTAATCCTATGAGTTGGGCAGGTCTTAGTTCCTAGCCTTATTTACTAGACCAGAAAACGGTAACAAAGCTAGGGACTAGCAAGGCTAGGAATGAAGCCCAGGATTCTTGACTCTGTTCAAGTTCCTTCTTGGCTTGCCTGGCTGGCACTCAAGAAGGGAGGTAGGGGAAAGAGTTCCTCCTCACCCACTCACCTGACATAGACTCCAAAGATGCCTAGCTCTGAAATACACTGAACTACTCGGGCAGAGCTGCCAGGCCGTAGCAGGCAATTCCTAAATGGTTCGGGTTCAATCTTCTCCATAAGGATGTAGGAAGCCCTCTCCTCACTGTCCTTCAGCCGCTCTAGGGCTTGCACCATTTCTTCCCCGTACAAGTTGTTTCCTGCAATGAAACGGCCAGTCAGTCAGTCAGCCCACTCTGTACCTTCTGCACCCTGTGCCCTCACTTCAAAAGCCATGTGGACAAGCCACCAGCCTCATTTCCTGCCACTAGCCCAGTGAGTCCAGAGCACATATGGCTTGTGAGAAGGTCACTTCACAGGATAGCCCTTACCAACCAAACATGCCTGCCATCACACTGCCCTGCCTGGCTGTCTCCCGTCTATGGATGTTTCTTCCCAGTCTCTGTTACTGCACCTCCTCTTTCTTCTTAAATGATGAGTTAAATATTGAGGTTCTCCAGGAGTTGGTTTTTTACTCTTGTTCTCCATGTACCATTTTCCCTCCCCAGGAAGACTTTGGTCCATTCCCAAGGCTCCACCTGTACCTATAATTAGATTCCCCTGTGTTCCGCAACACCTATCTACAAGGTCGAGGTCTTAGTGGACATTATCCGGGATGGATCACTTTCTCTTGTATCCACCAAGTCTGGCACTGTGTCCATAGTAAGTGCCAGTGAACACTGCCAACAACTTGCCAGTCCCTTCCCTTAGCAGCCATCAGACTGGGGGCTCCACCTACCTCCACCTTCTCTCTGGGGTTTCAGCACAAATCGGCTAGGGGCAGTGAGAGCCTCAGCAATGGCCTGGTCCCCTTCTTCACCCTGGCAGGAGGCAGAAAGTCATCACCAGCAGTCTTAAGGCAAAAGAGGCACTGAGATCCTACTGGTCATTCTGAGCCACATCAGGGGAAGAACAGGAGGGACTCCTCCCCACCCCCTATAGTAAGACCAAGAACAGGCTTTTCTCTAGTAACACAAGACTCTGTAACAGGTGACCTAGAAAGTGGGTTCAGATATTCCCCAGTTATTGCTACCTGCTTTACAGTCCCTTCCCTGCTTCCAATTCCCATCTTTACCTTTGTTGAGGGAGCTTACAATGAATCTAGCCCCTGAGATGGCCTGTTACCAAGGTTCTAGGGCCTAAATTACACCAATTATAATGCCAGCTCCACCCCTCGCCCCCAACACAATGAGTTTCAAGTATCTGGCACCTAGGAGAGCTGTGAAGAGAAAGCAAGCTGCTTATGTACCATGTCCAGTGAATAGAGGCCAGCAAAGGTGGCACGAAGGCGGGCTATGGCCTCAGACTGGCCAGGGAGCAGCATTTCCAACATGCCCGCCCTACTCAGTTCCTGCTGCACCTTCTTAGTCCCAGCCAGCTGAGTAGCAATGTCTGGGCACTTGACAGCACATGACCTTTCCAGCAGTAGGCGTGCTTCCCAGTTCTGTAGAGGGAAGAAGACAAAAAGAATTCTACTTCATTTCACTTCAGCTAACTTTTACTGAGTATCCCTCAAGTGCCAGGTATTGTGCTTTTTATCTTCAAGTTGATAGTCTCCTCCCACTCCCTATGATTGCAACTTCCTTACCTGGCAGGTGTGAGCTCTCCTATTCTGCAGGATTCTTGGCTTTAGTCTAGCACACTGACACATGACCATAATTAAAGGGAAAAGGAGAAAAGGGGAAGCAGCCTTTTATAAAGGTATAGGAAAACTGATTAATTTTGTTTTTGTGTGTTTGTTAGTTTCTGAAGACAGGGTCTTGAATTTGAAACCTGACCTTGCAATCCTCCTGCATTAGCCTCCTGAGTGCTAGGATTGCAGGTATATGCCACCACACCTGGCTTGAGGTGGAGTTTTAAAGAGCAGGGTACACTTGTTTATGAGCTATACTTCTCACTGTATTCCAAATAAATTCCAATACTCAGATTATATAACCTTTGCCTTTTATCAAAAAAAAATCTAAACATTTTGCAATAGCCTAAAAGACCCTGAAAGATCTAGCTCCTATTCTTTTTTAAACTGTTTTCCCTTTGCCATTCTTTTAAATTGAGACATCTTGCTATACAGATCAGACTAGCCTTAAATTTTTAATACTCCTGTCTCAGTCTTCCGATTGCAGGCATGTGCCACCATGGCCAGCTTGTTCTCATCTTAAATATTAATTCAGTCACCTTTTCAGAGAAGCCTTCTGGGACCACCCTGTTTAATGTGGATTTCTCCATAATTCTCTATCTTTTCATACTGTTGTTCATTCAACTGAGAGAAAACATTTTTTGGCTGGGTATGGTGGTACATGCCTGTAATCCTAGCACTTGGTAGGTTGAAGTAGGAGGATCATAAGTTTAAGGCCAGAGTGACCTTGTCTCAAAACCAAAACCCCTAAAAACTCTTTCTTATTTCTGTTTATTTTCTGATGCTCATCTCCCTGACCAGGATCAATCAAGAGGCTATTTTCCTTTCATATGAGAGCTGACCATAATTTCAGTTAATTTATAAATAACTTTAAAGCCTTATAAATGAAATGCACCAAACTATACCTGTGTAAAATTGATCATGTTTTAATTATGGGCTAAAAATGTCTAACACAGTAAGCCATTCCAAATACATTGCTAGAGAATTGCACAATGGAGGGATGAGGGAGTTAATGAAAATTTTTCTCTACATACAACATGATCATTAGCAAACTAGTAAATCTTAATTGGAATGATAAGGCAAAGCTGCTTTATTTTCAGCTATGTACCTCCAAAAAATGCAGGTTCTGGTACTTAAAGGATACTCAAGAAGTTCTTTAATTGTTGCTTAGTGAAGTGAAATTTGAGTAGTATCCTGATAACTGTCAGAATGACAGGCAAGAATCAGTAGAGAATAATATTCAGGCTCACAAAATAATACAAACACAAGTCTAACAGTATCTAATGAAGGGTCTGATGTCCCAGGAGCTTAAAATTTAAGAAACAGGAAAATGGCAGAGGACTACAGCTTCCAGCTCTGGTCCTGTTCTCAGGTACTGAGCAGACAATCTTCTCTTTGGTTCCAGACCACAGTACACTTCCCACTTCAGGATCAAGGTGGAGGCCAGAGGAATACCTACCAAATCGCTAAGTTTTGGAGATCTACCTCCATGTTCTACCCCTACTTTCCATCCTTGTTAGCTCATCTCTTTTGTTAGCTCATCTCTTTTCTAAGATTTTTCAGTCCCTTTCCCTTCTCCCATCCTGAAACTTGGATCCATATTCCCAACAGACAATTTCTCTCTTCTCTAGTCAGCAAGTTTCCAGTACTGCAATACACCTCTTTAGAGGAAAGGCCTTCCTCAAAGATGCCCTCTCCATACAGCTGCCCCCTTAGGGAGCTCAATCCTGGCAGAAAAGCCCAGATAAACTGTAGATCTGCAAGGAGCTCCTTTAATTTTCCAGTGTACATCCCACTCTGAGAAATAGACCAAGAAAGCACAAGAAACTTGCCAATGTATGGCAAATCAAAGGCAAAGGCCTTGCTTATAACTCCCAGCCCTACTCATTTCTTTTTTTTTTTTTTTTTGTCGGTCGTGGGGCTTGAACTCTGGGCCTGGGCGCTGTCCCTCAGCTCTTCAGCTCAAGGCGAGCACTCTACCACTTGAGCTACAGCGCCATTTCCGATTTTCTGTTGGTTTATTGGAGATAGGAGTCTCACGGTCTTTCCTACCCGGGCTGGCTTTGAACTGCGATCCTCAGATCTCAGCCTCCTGAGTAGCTAGGATTACAGGCGTGAGCCACCAGTGCCCAGCTCATTGTATTTCTTGACTTATTCCTTCCTTTATCTTTTCCCAGTTCAATGCAGGGCTTCTTAGCCAGACGCTGTAATTCTAGCTACTCAGGAGGCTGAGATCTGAGGATCACAGTTTAAAGCCAGCCTGGGTAGAAAAGTCCAATTTAAAAAAAAAAAGTGAACGAAGCTGTGGTAGAGTGCTAGCCTTGAGTGAAAAAGCTCAGGGACAATGTTCAGGTCCTGAGTTCAAGCCCGAGGGCACGTGCGCGCACCCACACGGGCGCGCACACATACACACACACACACACAGGTTTTTTTTTTGTCTGGTTGTGGGGCCTAAACTCTGGGCCTGGACGCTGTCCCTCAGCTTTTCAGCTCAAGGATAGCACTCTACCACTGCACCACTTCCGGTTTTTTTCTTTTTTGCTTATGTGGTACTGAGGAATTGAACCCAGGGCCTCATGCATGCAAGGCAAGCGCTCTACCACTGAGCCACCTTCCCAGCCCCACAGTAGGGCTGTTTAGCCTTCCTGTAGTATGGATGTTAGGAGCACAGGAGAATAATGGTTTACTGGGAATACCATTTCTTTTTTTTTTTTTTTTTTTTGTCGGTCATGGGGCTTGAACTCTGGGAATACCATTTCTGACCTGAGAGAAAACTAGGAAATTCCTTTGATATCTTAGATAAGCCATGGCCTCTCTCTAAACCTTAGTTTCTCTACCTTATAATGAGATTAATTATATAAGTTAGAGGGCAAGCAGTTGTAAGAGTTAAATGAAATAATGGATGTGGAAGGTAAATTTGAAACTGAAGTAATAGCACCATTACTGCCATGAACACATGATAAAAACTTTAATTCATGTTAAAGGAGAAGTAAAGAGGTAGGAAATGACCAGTGGTGTGCTGAAACTGGCCTTCACTGGCTAGTGAGGGCTGCTTGACTGTACCATTTCTTTGTAATTGTGTTCAGAGGTAAGTTGAGTAGTGAAAACTTATACTATGGAAATCAGAAAATATTATAAACTGAGACTCACTCCTGACCCACCTCTGAAATATGTCTGTTACACATTTGTCAGCCTATCTTTGGGAAATGTGTAAATGGTTAATGCCTAAGGATTCACATTCTAGAAGACAGTCTGTCTACAGAGGAAGAGGTAGCAAAAAGCTTCCAGGAGGAAAGGAGGTTCTAGCAGCAGGTTCCCCGAGGAAGAACTGAAGCTAGAGCTTGGAGAAAAACCCTGGTTGTTGTGACAACTATGTTGGGTCTCTGTGGAGCTAGTGGGTCCCAGCAGGCAGTGAATGGCTCAACAGAAAATACCAACCTGTAGACTGTATTGACTTGGCATGTAACCATCTCGGAAATAAACCACAGCTACTTCCTGGCCATCCCTACAACACAGAATAAAAAAAAAAAAATCTGTGTTAAATCACTCAGATAAGTTCAGAGTTTCAATCCATTTCTGGGTACATTCAAATGTATTTGGCTTCTCTAAAAGTCAGTCAGTGCACAAAGGGAGGCTGGACAGTGCTCACTAGAACCAGTGAAAGATACTGGATAGTTACATTGTTAGCATCACCACTGAAAACAACCGAGTGTGCAGCATGGAAAGCTTTCCAAAAACTCCAGATTATTGTAAAAAAAACCAAAAACAAAAAGGCTACAGAACAACAAAAAGTAACCAGAATCCAATTAAATAAATGTGAATCAGTTATGACACAAGATAGTCTTTTTAAGCTTCTTCCCTTTGACCTATGTGATATCTAGTTTATCAGGAAAGTACTTAATTTTGCTATGCTAAAAGTATATTTTGAAATACAGGGGGCAGTAAGTGGTATTATGAAATTTCAGGATAGTTTGTAACTTTTAACAGCTCAAGTTCCAGGTCTAATTATGAATGCAGCAATGCTATCCAAAGATGTAGCAATAAAGCCACCTGGTGGTGGCCTCTGGAGAGAAAGCACCGGGCGTCTTTTGGAAGACAAATCCAAGGCTGAGCTCAGAGAGTAAGTAACAACCTGCTGGGTCCCAGAATGAGCCAGCTGCCTCTCCTGCTCCCTGGTTGCTCAGGACCAACTTGACCAGCCACCAAGAGGGGAAAAGAAAACTTTTGAGGTTTTAGGGGCACATGAAAACCAGGTCAGCATTTGATTGCCCTTCTCCAGAATTTCCTGTGAGGATGAGGTATTTCAGAAGTTAGAAGAAAAGAGAAGAAAGAAAACAAGCCATTATATCTTCCAGAAGAAAAGACCATTTGGTGAAAGAAGGTGGCATGAGAGTTTCACAAACCAGCCATCTTTGGGGACTGTAGGGATGCTTACATAAACAGCCTTCGATCTTGATCCAAGGACCCCTTTTCTGAGACATCTTCAAATCGTCTCCGTATTACGTGAATGTTCCTGGCAAAGACGGATGGACAAGAATCAGAAGGAGTGCATGCTCTGTTCTTGAGGCCATATCTGGAGGTTTCCTTCCTTTATGACTTACCTGGCTAGCAGCTCATTCTCTATAGCGCGCTGGTCAAATATGTTCCTTTCCTTTTCTTGAGCAATTAGTAGCACCAGGGCACTGGAAAAAGAGCACAGATGGCCCCAAACTGCTAAAGAGCCTGTCCTTGCTCTGACTCATCCCCTTCAGGAATGAAAACAGAGATTTCCTAAAAAAGTAGATGTCCCCTGCTCCAACTTGGGATTGCCTCAGGTTTTGTTCTTGTTGTTGTTTTGCTGGTCCTGGGGCATGAACTCAGGGCCTGGATGCTGTCCGTAAGCCTCTTTTTGCTCAAAGCTAGTGCTCTACCACTTGAGCCATAGCTTCACTTCCAGATTTTTTGGTAACTTATTGGAGATAAGATTTTCCTACCTGGGCTGGCTTTGAACCTTGATCCTCAGATCTCAGCCTCCTGAGTAGCTAGGATTACAGGCATGAGCTACCAGCACTTAGAATTGCCTCAGGTTTTAACACATTACTTGCTGAAAATAGGAAACTTGGAAAAAAAAAAAAGAAATGTTTCTGCCCCTTTCTCCAGCAATGAAGTGATTTTTTTGTGTAAATTACAGTTTACATTTAAAACTATCACAAAAATCTAAGAGGATTTTTTTCCTAGAATTTAACATAATGATTCTAAAGTCTATCTGAAAGAATAAAGAGGTAGTAGTAGTAAAGAACATCTTTTTTTGTTTTTTGTTTTTTTGGGTCCAGTCTTGGGACCTGAACTCTGGGCCTGGGCTCTGTCCCTCAGCTCTTCAGCTCAAGGGTAGCGCTCTACCAATTGAGCCACAGCGCCACTTCCGGCTTTTCTTTTTTGCTTATGTGGTGCTGAGGAATCGAACCCAGGGCCTCATGCATGCAAGGCGAGCACTCTACCACTGAGCCACCTTCCCAGCCCATATTTTCAAAATATTCTTTAGGGGCTGGGAAGGTGGCTCAGTGGTAGAGTGCTCGCCTTGCATGCATAAGGCCCTGAGTTTGATTCCTCAGCACCACATAAGCAAAAAGAAAAAAGCCAGAAGTGGCGCTGTGGCTCAAGTGGTAGAGTGCTAGCCTTGAGTTGAAGAGCTGAGGGACAGAGCCCAGGCCCAGAGTTCAGGCCCCACAACCGGACCAAAAAAAAAAAAAAAAAAGAATATTTTGAAAATAAACAATAACCCTCACTGCTGAGAGTCAGGTACTAATGACTTACTAGATTATAAAGGGTTTAATTTAAAAAACTATGATTTTTAATGAAAATTAGAATAGCTAAGTAGAACCCTTAGAAGCTCATAATGCTAATTACAATTATGGTATTGTCTCCCAGGGCCTTCCAACATTTCTGTCCACACAACTATTTCTGGTTTGACATTTTTGTTTCATTTTGTTTTAGTGCTAGAGTTCAAATCCAAGGTATAGTAAGTACTAGCAAGTGCTCTACCATTGAATGAATCCCTAAGGCCTGGTTTCCTTAATGGGATCACTGGGGTTTGCTGGGCTTCTTTCTCTCTGGTTACATGTATCTTTAAAAGAACCGGGAGGAACAAGACCACACTAAAGCTACCAGCACAACTATGTTTATTGCAGCATTATTTACCATACCTAAGATATGGAACCAACCCAGATGCCCCTCAGTAGATGAATGGATCAAGAAAATGTGGTATATATACACAATGGAATTCTATGCCTCCATCAGGAAGAATGACATTGCCCCATTTGTTAGGAAATGGAAAAACTTGGAAAAAATTGTATTAAGTGAAGTAAGCCGGGCCCAAAGAAACATAGGTCCCATGGTTTCCCTTATTTGCAACATCTAGTCAAGCGGAAAAGGTCAGATAATGTGATGTTAGGAAAATGAACTCTTAGATATGTATTTTAATGTTTTTTTCTTTCATGCATGTGTTTCTAACTTATTTATAAGATTATTTCTTTGTTGCTTTGTATGTCCCTTCCCCACAGTATAACCCCTGCTTTCACTATATTTGATGTCAGTATAACTTGGGGAGGAGATGGGGAAAAACAAGTCGTTTAAGATACAGTTGGGCCAGTTGCAACAATGAGAAGTACAAGTTGTCATGTCCAAAACGAGCTTTACAACGTCGGTGCGGGGGGGGGGGGGGCAGGGGGAGGATTGGGGGGGGGAGACTGGGAAGGGATGTGAAGGGTAAACAAAGGAGGAGGCTGCAATGTTTGGTAAGAAATGTATGCATTATCCTGCCCATGTAATTGTAACCCCTCTGTACAGTATGTTCACAAATAAAATTAAATTAAATTAAAAAAAAAAAAAAGAACCGGAAGGGAGCTGGGAAGGTGGCTCAGTGGTAGAGCGTTGCCTTGTATGCCTGAGGCCCTGGGTTCAATTCCTCAGCATCACATAAGCAAAAAGAAAAAAGCCGAAAGTGGCGCTGTGGCTTAAGTGGTAGAGCGCTAGCCTTGAGCTGAAGAGCTGATGGACAGTGCCCAGGCCCAGAGTTCAGGCCTCACAACCGGACCCAAAAATAAATAAGTAAATAAAAATTAAAAAAAATAAAAGAAGCAGGAGCTAGCCAGGTGCTGGTGGTTCACTCCTGTAATTCTAGCTACAAAGGAGGCAGAGATCTGAGGGTCACAGTTCAAAGTTAGCCCACCAGGAAAAGTTTGTGAGACTCTTATTTCCAATTAACCAGTAAAAAAGTCAGAAGTAGAGCTAGGGCTAAGTAGGAGAATGTTAGCTTTGAGCATAAAAGTTTAGGGATAATGCCAAGGACCTGAGTTCAAGACCCAGGACCAGCACACACATACAAAAAACTTGAAGTGGAGGTGTGATTCAAGTGGTAGAGTGTCAGCTTTGAGTGAAAAAGCCAAGCAAGAGTGCAAGGTCTAAAGTTAAAGCCCAAATACCAGCACCTACAAAAAAATGGGCTGGAAATGTGGCTTAGTGGTAGAGTACTTGCCTTTCATGCATGAAGCCCTGGGTTCAATTCCTCAGTACTATATAAACAGAAAAAGCTGGAAGTGACGCTGTGGTTTAAGTGGATAGAGTGCTAGCCTTGAGCAAAAGAAGCTCAGGAACAGTGCCCAGGCTCTGAGTTCAAGCCCCCAAAAACAAAACAAAAACAAAAACAAACAATAGCAAGAGCTTAGGTCTGACAAGTGATACAGTATCTGCCTAGCAAGCAAGAGGACTATAGTTCAAAGCAAAGTTCTAGTAAAAAGAAACGATCAAACAAACAAACAAAACAAAACAACAACAACAAAAAAAAAAACAGGTGCTTGAGAACTCAAGAAAAAGGATTGTCTCTTTAGCTACCAGTTAAGCTATCTTCAGGATCAAAGGTAGATCTAGTCCTCCATCAGACTCCTAAGGCCAATACTTAACAGAAGCAAACTATTTTTGCTGTGGCTATACTTTTTGTGCCTGTGGTCTCTTGCAAAGATCTGTGGAAGCCCCCAGACTCTGGCTTAGAATGCTGTGTGTATTCCTGACCTCCTATACCTGCCCTTGTATCTGTTTGTCTGTTTTTATTTACCTTAGCTGAACCTTTTGGACTAAACACTGTTTACCTGACTTCTTTCCATGTGGCCAAATACAGGTCCTATTATGTTCCCTCTCAAAGCCTGCCTCAAACTTCGTAAGGTCATATATACCAATAAGCAGAGGTCAGACTTGACACTGGCTTGAGCATTTTCTTGTAAAAGACTAGCTAGAAATAGTGCTCTACTAGCCCTAATAAGAGTAGGGAGGGCCAAAGATCTTGCTCTTTATTTTGCAGCCTAAATTTCTCTGTTCGTGGGAAGGATAGGGTGGCATCTAGCCCAGAAACAGGGGAAAGCAAGAGGGTAAAGTACAATTCTGTCCAATTAACTCAGCCTGCCACATGCCAAGCAATGGAAGCCAGATCCAGAAAACATATTCTACCTCCCTCTGAGTAGTCTGAACTGAGCAAGACTATGAACCTCAGTTTCCTCATCTGTGAAATGGGCAAGAACAGTCCCTATCTTATAGCATTTGTTATGAGATTTCAATGAGATCCATAGCACAAGGGATAGCACTAGTAAGTGCTCATTCTAGGACAACTGTTAGTGCCATATTAGCACAGTAATTAGTATTATGACCCCTCAATTATCTGGAAGTCACTTACCTAGCATCTTCACACATCTGGAACATGGTTGAGAAATAGGAAGAAAGCAAAAAATGCCCTAAGCAGTCAAAATAGATACCATAAAATTCCTAAGTCAAATCTTATGCATTTAATCATCAAAAGAACCCTCCCACTCTTTGGGTACAACTGTAACAAATTGAATCACTGTTTTTCGGGGGTTTTTCTATCATCTCTTTTTTTTTGGGTCCGGTTGTGGGGCTGAACTCTGGGCCTGGGCACTGTCCCTCAGCTCTTCAGCTCAAGGCTAGCACTCTACCACTTTGAGCCACAGCGCCACTTCCGGCTTTTTTTTTTTTT